GAGCTAATTGGGATGAAAGGATCCAGTCTAGCTGAGTATAGCATAGTATAGTTGTGGTCAATGACCACAACTAATCCGCATATGTAGTTGAAAGTTAAAATCTTTTCTGTGTAAAGAGAGACTAGAAGTTAGATTGGTACTATTTTGTCACTCTAAAGGTTAACAGAATATCATTGTGCATTTTTTTTTGTCTGATATGTAAACAGATTTAAGACTGCGGGACAGCAATTTGGATGAGGCAATGGTCCAGAAAGTGAGGCTATGACTCAAGGGGCTGACTTGATGCACAGTCTCCCCACCCAACAGATGTTAGAATGGCAATTGTAGAGTCCCGTGATTTTAGTGTAAAACAAGCTAACACGTCCCAAACAGAAATACTGCCTTCAGCTATTCATTTCGGCCCCTGAAGGCTTCTCGCGCAAGAAAAATAAATGATCTCAGATTGGGGATTAGGATGTGATGTGAAAAGGAAAAGAAATGTGGGGAAAAAAGTGTGAAATGCACAACAAAAATATATGATAGTTTTTGGGGAAAACATTTCCTATGGGGAAAAAATAGCCAAATTAAAAACAAAACTGACTTGGAGAATTCATTTTTTTTTTTTTTTTTTACTTTGGCTACTTTGTCCTAAAATTCACTTTAAATTCCTGATATTTTACACTTTAACGAATAACTCTGTAAATGTATTTTGTGACTGCCATATGTACTCCTGTAGATGGCCATGTGACATTAATTTTTTTAAGACCCAGGAGCAGTGATATATTCCCCATAGGAAAGGTCCTTGGGTGGTTATATGTGCATTAACAATCCTCTGCTACCCTTTAAATAAACTGCAGGGCTGAGCGCTAAACATCTAAACATCTGCGTCCTGGGATGCCAGTATGATCACATGCGGAGTATGAATGGGCTCTGAGAGAAAGACCTTCATTATTACGCAGTGGTACGCTACCCCAGACAGGTATCAGCTCAGTACTGGGGAGATGTGCAATCAGGGATGATGATATATGGTTAAAAATTTCTAATGAATAACAACCAAGTATGAGTGTGTGAATTTGAGTATACTCGTGCACATGAATGTGCGTGTGTGTATGAATGTGAGAGTGTGTATGAATGAGTGTGTGTATATGGATATGTGTTTATCTATGTAGAAATGTGTGTATGTGGTTGCGTTCGTGTAACTTTCCTAAATAAAGTGTGTGTGTGGGGGGGGAGGGGGGGGCTTGTGCCAACATATATTTCTGCCAAGAAACCTAGATATCCCTCTATTTCCTTCAAGAAACACTGAGAGCCTTTGCTGCCTTTTAGGCTGTGCTCTATTCTGATAAAACTACCCTATAGAATGTCGAAAAAAGAGGACATTTCCAGTATAAACGGATAAACTAGGCTTCAGTGGATCCATTTTTAAAGCATGATATAGATAATCAATGTGACAAATCTGAAAGCAATACTGTAGCTTGGAGGAAAGACAAGACGGGGGGGATATGATAGAAACATTTAAATACATAAAGGGAATCAACACAGTAAAGGAGGAGACTATATTTAAAAGAAGAAAAACTACCACAACAAGAGGACATGGTTTTTACCTGCCTTCACATTCTATGTTTCTACATTCTAATTAATAAAGAAAAAGGAAAAGATACTTGTATATGAATTACCTGCATTTGTTGTTGCTCTCACCAGACCAGGAACAGATTCACATTATTTAAAGGAACACTACAAGCACAATAACCACTACAGTGCTCTGAGAGCAACACCAACGGACTCTGCACCAACAGGCTTAGCTCAGAGCATAGAGCTTCCTGCTCTCACAGAAATGGTAATAGCACTCTGTGGACCCTAGCAAAGTTGTCAAAACCTTATCAAAGTGTCTTGACTACTCACACTGGGGGAGGGGGATCCAAGACATTATTGGTACCATAACAACTACAGCATGCAGCAGTGGTTATGGTCCCTGGAGTGTTCCTGTAACTTTCAAGCAGAAAGCATTGGACTCACGTACTGTACGCCCCTGGACTACCAAGGAAGGGACGGAAGGGGTGTGCCCGGGGATGGATTTTGGGGTCCAGGACGATAGCTTGTGGTTGTTACTTATGACCCCCAGTTGTCCATCTCCCTTTCCAGGGGCTGCCGGCACCTTGCCGAGTCACAAAAAAAGGGGTGTGTTGGCTCTTTAATGAGAGCCACTGAAGGTTGCTCAGCTCCTTCAGGTTTAAACATGAATGTTCTCATCCTGCCTTGCGATGCTTCAAGAAGGGACGGACGAGCGCAGGTAAGGGACCAGGACGTGATGACGTATCTCGCGGAGAGGACGTAGGTGTACTTCACAAGGATGCGCCGGTTAGACAGGTATCCTAGATGGGAGGATGCCAGAACTCTGTTTGACGTGTTTTCTTTGGGGTTTTGGATTCTGTTTGTGGCTTCAGTTGAGCCTCAGTTCGCAGACAATCGCCACTCGGTAAGGGCTAAAGAGGGCATCCTCCTAGAAAAATTGGAAGGGGAGGTCCATCAGGGATATATGGCAGGGCCGTATGATTTTTCCCGTTTTCCCAATTTAAGGGTTTCTCTGCTGGGTTTGGTCCCCAAGAAGGAGGTAGGATCCTATCGATTGATTCACTATCTGTCCTACCCTTCGGGTGGGTCAGTCAATGATGATGTTGATAATGAGGTCTGTAGGGTTCGGTAAGCATCGTTTGACAGGGCCTTGAATTAGTCCGGGCAGCTGGATCTGGGGCGCTGTTGGCGAAATCGGACGTCGAATCCGTGTTCCGCTTGTTTCCAGACTGTTTTCATTTGTTGGGATGTCAATTTCAGGGTTCTTTCTATTATGACATGTGCCTTCCTATGGGCTGTGCCATGTCATGTTATTATTTTGAGATGTTCTCGTCATTCTTGAAATAGGTCACCGTGCAGGCGGCAGGGGGAGTGTGCGGTCACCCATTACTTGGATGATTTCTTATTTGTGGGGCCGGGTAACTCGCAGGAGTGATTGCTTTTGATGAGCACTTTTCGAGACGAAGCGGCGGAGTTTGGCTTACCGGTCACAGAACAGAAAACCGGTCCTACGTCGGTTTTATCCTTCTTAAGCATAGAAATTGACTCGAAGAGTATGATATTTCAGTTGTGGGAGGATAAGTTGGGTGTTCTGTTGCACCTCGTGGATTGAGTGAAAGGGACTAAAGAAAGTGAAGTTGCGACAATTACAGGTCTTATTAGGTCACCTTGCTTTTGTGTGTAGAGTTCTTCCTATTGGTAGGGTGTTCTGTAGGCGTCTCTCGTTGTCGACGGTAGGAGTTTGTGAACACTTTCACTACATTCGGGTTATGTGTCAGTTATCTGCAAGTTTGGAGTTCGTTTTTGGGAACCTACGACGACCGTTCTTGTTGGCTGCGGGCAACCACAAGCAATGCGGAGCTGGATCTCTTCACAGATGCGTCGGGATCTCTGGGCTATGAGTGATAAATGTCAGTCTGAATAGTGAAAGTTTGTAGCAGTGAAAATGACAGGCTTGTAACAAAAAATTTATCAGATCTCTAAAAAACAGAATCCTGTTACTAGATTTCAGGAGCTGAGTAATTTTAGGCTGATATACTATAACATATATAGCACAATGCAGAATAGGTATAAAGTCTCTATCAGACTGACATTTATCACTCATTTATACATTTATTTCTGGATATCAACTATTGCATCAATAATATTTGCATTGCATGTGGATTTTAGTTTACCTATTGTACCAATATTATTTACATTTATATGCGGATTTTAGTCTATACCTTGATTTTATTTCAATTTCTGATTTTTATAGTTTTCATTTATTCTTTATCAAGTTCACTGTTTAGTGATTTTTCCTATCTGGGCAACACCTTTCCTGTAATTCCCATAAAAAATATACATTTATATTGTTTTTTTTTGGAGCTTTTGTTACACACTATTTATTTTTAGCCTTGATGGGGGCTGTCATGCCAAAAGCATGAATTGGTGTTTGATGTGTGTTTATATATGTTAAGAGTTGTTTTTTTGTAAACCTTGGGATGACATTTATTGTGGTCTTTGATCTTGCACCAGGCCTAGACCATAAAACATCTAGATAGCCATCACCAGAGCTGGACACAAGGAATTTCATAGAGTGGGCAATAGACTGCCAGACCAACCCCCTCTGATCCCCCCCAGGGGTCTGCCCACTGAGAAACAACTAGTTTAGATATATGAGGGTGTTGGACTATCCAGGGAGGTCAGTTATTCATTTTTCTTTTTGTCAGTAACTTCTAGGAGACCTATACCATCTAAGACTCCCACAAGAATTCTATATGGGGTAAATATATGTAAGGAATTTCTTGTGTTTTCTCCTATTTTATTTTATGTACTGTTTTGCAATTTGTTATCTGTATGTCATTTATTTCTGTATTTTGTACTCAGCACTGTGAATCCTTTTTGTCAGATTAAATGTTTACTTAATCAGCTTGTGTCTCTGTTCTCTATGAGCTTCACTCTCCAGAGGAAAGCTCAGGTAAACACGTTACCAAAAAGGGGTTAACTATATATGTTTTATCAGTAAAAGTAGAACTGTGATACTATAATTCTCCTGTGTGTGGGGTAACCTAAGACGCCCGGGTTTAAAAGTCTTGGTGGTGGCAGTAGTACTAAGGGGGTTAGTGTAGAAGGGATTGCAGGGGTTAATTGAGTGGTTGCTGGGACTAGCAACAGGTAACCAGGGGTCTGGTGTCATTAACTCTGTCACTTCCACACTCTCCCCACTGTCTCGGCTGGGCCTATAGCCCACGCACGTGACAAACTGGCGGCAGCTAGTGGGATATATTTAGAGATTTTTAGTGCTTGCTAGATTTTACCTGTAAAGGGGGTCTTAGCACTAAAAGAAATTGCATACTTGTTTTTGTGTAATTTCCAAAGACCAAGCTCAGTGCTGATTTAAAATACATACAAAGTGCAAAACAGTTCTCCCCTCCATCTTTTGTTTTTCTTTCTCTATCCTATTTGTGAATATGGAGGCCTATCGCAAACAATCAAAAGAGGCCTTGGAATTGTTGTGCCAAGAAAAGAATTTACCAACTTTTGGCAAAAATAAGGCACAACTTATTGCTGACCTTGTGGAGGCTGACAGCCATATTTTCCAGCCAGAGACGGACACTGAAAGGGTTACCGAGCTCCCTACTACTGCAGGAGTGTTGCTTACTGAAATGCCTGGTGGTTGTACCCCTCAAAACATTAAGGACATTTGCTCAACTGATTTATTTCGGCAACTGATGGCTGCAAATCCTCAGGAGGCCCTGCATGTGATGATCCAACAGCAGGCTGCAGAAAGGGAATCTGCAGAGAGGCTAGCCGAAAGGGAGGCACAAAGGAGACATGAGCTGGAACTTGCTAAACTGCAATTTACCCTTCAGTCCTCACTGAACAGCAATGCATCAGAGTCCAGCACACGTAGGCTCCATAAGGATGATTTTCCTTCCCTCGAAGAAGGGACAGATTTGGATGTATTTTTAAAAAGTTTTGAGAAAGTATGCAGGCAGCATCAACTACCCTCAGACCAGTGGGCTAGATATTTAACTCCACAACTGAAAGGGAAAGCCTTGGATGTGTTTGTGTCCCTTCCCCCAGAGACTGATAACAACTATGAGGCAATCAAATCTGCATTGCAAAAAACTTTTAACCTTACTCCTGAGTCTTACAGGAAAAAGTTTAGGAGTATGCAGCAATGCCCATCATCCAGCTGCATTCTATATGTTGCACAATTAGAAACCACGTTCCGGCAATGGGTAACAGGAGTACAAGCTACTACCTATGAAGCCCTTAATGACTTAATGGTCCTGGAGCAGTTCTTGCAGACCCGGAGCCCTAATGTACGAGAGTGGATTTTGGAAAGAAAGCCAAAAAATGCTAGGGCTGCTGCAGAACTGGCAGATGACTATGCCGACATCCATGCACCCACATCCAGGCGTGGACTTGTGTCAGCTGCTACTTCAACCTGGAGAGAAGCTACAGTTCAAACACCACCTGTAAGATCTGCAGTGAGAACTTCACCGCCGACTGCCAGCGTAGCCGGGGCTATGTCAAGTGAGTCAGATGCCCGCCATTGTTTTCGATGCAACCAGATTGGTCATCTGAGCAGGACTTGCCCCACTAGGAATATGCCCTCACCAGTCCGTGGAGGGGCACCATCAGTATTGCTTGTGGGTGGGTCCGTGGGGAAACGAGAGGATAACCTGCAGAGTGTAATTGTGGGTGACCGAGTGACCATGGGACTGAGAGATTCTGGAGCTTCCTTCACCCTGGTGCGACCTGAAGTGGTGAATACGGAGGACATAATCCCTGGAAGAACCATGTCCATCAAAGGAATTGGGGGTGTATGCGCCCGCTGTGCCCTTGGCACGTGTGTACCTTGATTGGGGTGCGGGCAAAGGTTTGCGGGAAGTGGGGATTTCAGAGGATATCCCTGTTAATGTTCTGTTGGGGAATGATTTGGGCAGGATGCTCTGTCACTATGCTCCAGCGGACACTGTTTGTGAGCCAGAAGGGCTGACTGCTCCACCTAAGGTATTGTGTGAAACTTTGGGAGACATTGTGAAGTGTGATTGCTGGGAGGGAGAGCAGGGTGTGGATAAATATCTACCTGTAACTGAACCAGTGATGTCTACCAAATGTAATATAGGGGAGAGTAGTGATGTACCTGTATCAAAATACTGTGAGGCTGGGATGTCAGAGAGTAAGGGGGAGGAGGAAGGTGAGAGCCATGGATGTGTACCACTAGTCGCAGTGGTAACAAGTCAGCAGTGGGTCAGGGCTGCAGCAGGACAGTCTAAGGGGCTATGTGAGATTGCGAGAGGATGGCCTGCCTTGGAGAAGAAATTATGTGAGTGTGTGCAAAATTCTGTATCTGATCAAGGGGGGTCAAATGTGTCCTGTGAAAATGTATGGGAAAAGCCTTCCGGCGAGAGGGGGCTAAATGAATATACGTGCCAATATGTGCCTGAAGCAGATGTATGTGATGTGGTGGGTGAAAATGTGAAGGGACAGCAAGGCTATGAGGGAGGGCAGAGGGTGTGTGAGCTTTACTCTGCGGCAGGCTTAGCCAGTTTCCAAAGTTCGGTATGTGTGATGACCTGGAGTGAAAGTGAGGGGCACGGACAGACTCAGCCTGTGGGTCCAGGAAGGATGGCTGCAGGGAAACATACTGTTGGAGGAACCAGGAACCTTGTCAGTTTATCACAACTCACGCATACACCTAAGCAACTTTCTGATTGTGAACCAAAGGTTCAGAGTCTGATAGTGCAACAAGCCCAGCAGACAGACCGCAAAATGAAAGAGATGATGGGTGTTGATACAGCACATCTATCCTGGGAGTGTTCTCTGTCTGCTTTTTTGTGTGCTTACCGGGGAGTGCTGCAGAAATCTATTGGTTTCTTCCCCTTACAGCTACTACATGAGCGCAGTGGGTGTGGTTTAAGGGATGTTACCAGAGATCGATGGGAAATTGAAACAGGCAAATCCGGCATGTTTGTTGAGGGTGTAGCTGTGGTATGGACTGATCACAACCTGCTGCAGGTGACAGGTAACAATGATAAACTGCTCCATTGGAGCCCTATCCTCCAACAGTATAATTTCACTGCCCAACACAAAAAGGGCAGATGGCCTGTCTCGGCAACTAGAGGGTTAATGGTAGACAGATAAATCAGCCTGTGGCTGAATTTTTCTGTCCACCATCTTAAGGGGGAGGTGTCATGCCCAAAGCATGAATTGGTGTTTGATGTGTGTTTATATATGTTAAGAGTTGTTTTTTTGTAAACCTTGGGATGACATTTATTGTGGTCTTTGATCTTGCACCAGGCCTAGACCATAAAACATCTAGATAGCCATCACCAGAGCTAGACACAAGGAATTTCATAGAGTGGGCAATAGACTGCCAGACCAACCCCCTCTGATCCCCCCCAGGGGTCTGCCCACTGAGAAACAACTAGTTTAGATATATGAGGGTGTTGGACTATCCAGGGAAGTCAGTTATTCATTTTTCTTTTGTCAGTAACTTCTAGGAGATCTATACCATCTAAGACTCCCACAAGAATTCTATATGGGGTAAATATATGTAAGGAATTTCTTGTGTTTTCTCCTATTTTATTTTATGTACTGTTTTGCAAATTTATCTGTATGTCATTTATTTCTGTATTTTGTACTCAGCACTGTGAATCCTTTTTGTCAGATTAAATGTTTACTTAATCAGCTTGTGTCTTTGTTCTCTATGAGCTTCACTCTCCAGAGGAAAGCTCAGGTAAACACGTTACCAAAACGGGTTAACTATATATGTTTTATCAGTAAAAGTAGAACGGTGATACTATAATTCTCCTGTGTGTGGGGTAACCTAAGACGCCCGGGTTTAAAAGTCTTGGTGGTGGCAGTAAAGTGTACTAAGGGAGTTAGTGTAGAAGGGATTGCAGGGGTTAATTGAGTGGTTGCTGGGACTAGCAACAGGTAACCAGGGGTCTGGTGTCATTAACCCTGTCACTTCCACACTCTCCCCACTGTCTCGGCTGGGCCTATAGCCTACGCACGTGACAGGGGCTATTTTAATTTACCAGTAGAGATTTATGTTCCAGCTTATTCAATTTCCAGACTCTATCTGCCGGAGTACTCCACGTTCATTCCCAATTTTTCCACTCTATTTGGACAAACTAAACCCTGTCCTAATCACCTTGGTGAAATTATATTATTTAAATAAATTATGTTCCTTTCAAGTGACAGTGTCGCATTTCTTCATTAACCTGTGGTTGAGTTCCAAATAAATAATTAATTCAACCAGAGCATTACATTGAGGCTGCACTGTCAGCGGGGGCGCGATGGCGATAAGGTAGGGGAGTTAGGTTGTCATCGCGGTGGTGGGAATCCTGGCCAGGGCAGTATACTGGAAGAAGGTGCCAAGGCAGCTTGGGGAGTCGCAGCCTGCTGAGAGCTAATGGCGGGGACAGGCTGCTCTGGACTCTTGCATTGTTTCATGGTAGAGTTGTCTGTTCATGAAGCATCCCAGCAACTGACAGGGTGATATGTTTGCTGGCATTTGGTATTTAAAATAAATAAAGCTATGGCCGTTGCCCTTACCCAACAAAACATAGGTCTCGTGTGTTTTTGTGCAACGGGATAATGGGGGGGCTGCAGTCAAGCAGTGGATATGGAGCAAAAATCAAAGTACTCAAAGTTGAGAGGAAGGGGCAGAAATGTTTTCCTTACAGAACAAAACTATTATTGAGAAGAAAAACAAAACTACAGAGAATTAGTAAAAAATCACCCAGGATAAATGTAGCCCATGGAGCAGCAAAGCTAAGGGGAATGGGCCTTGACAATGCTAGAAGACAGGCATAGAATGTGGGTATTGTTTGTGATTGGTTAAGGGAAATTGGGGGTGGAGTTTTGGCTATAGGTGTACATATAGGGGCCATTTTAGATTAGGAGACATCTTAATTAATCCTCACTTGCGTACAAAACATAGGTAAGGTACTTGGATTGCCACTCTCAGCCAATCAATGCCACCCAAATTTGAATGGAATAAATAGTATTATTGCGGAAGTGGAACGTATCACTAGAACAAAAGTTGATGCATTGTAAGTCAGTAATGAAGGCTTTGTTTGCATTTTAAATTAAAAGAAATGTTCTCTAAGTCTTCTAATTCAATACATGCATTCAATACATCTTAAAAATATTTTAAAAATCCCTAGGTGAGCACTCTAATGAAATGTGCTGATCCGGCTAATGCACTGTTCTTGCCAGTATTTCCACATCCTGCCATTGTTATATTTCTCAAAATCTCAATGAATGTTAAATTAGAGGAATAAAAGGAGATATTTAACATTTTTCTTAGCTCTATACCATTGAATGATTCAGAACACGGGCTGTCACATTGAGATTGCAATCTCTCTTTGATGCCTGTGATGGTTGGATGATAAAGTGATTTCTAAGAAGGTCACTGAGAAATGACCTAAGATTTCATCCATTTTTCTCTTTTCCAGACACTATTATTTTTTTCCATTAAGGCATTAACTGCTACTTGCAGATCCTTGTAAACCTGCTTCAGGGTCCCAGCGTCTCAGATGTGCGATACAGAGGTCAACATGGTCAAATCAGCTGTCATAGATTATATACATTTTATTGAAAATTATTTTATGATGTAACCTGAGTTCTCTAAATTACTTTTGTTTGTTGAGTAAATTCACCGTATTAAAATTATGGGAAGATCTAAGTAGTTTCTGATGACTGAGTTAACTAATAATTAAAGTCTATAACAGTTGATGTTGAAATCTTATGTTACTCACCTGGAGTTTGTGTTAGTGCAAGGCATTCAGTCTTCCTCACTGCAGATGTTGTGGGCTATATCTCCCCTGATGCTTTGCTAACATTATGTCTGTAAAAGCATTAATGCAATGTAGTCTACAACATCTGGAGTGCCAAAGGTTGTCTACCCCTTATAGAGGGCCTGGTTTCCTTTTAAAAAAAACACCAATTAGAGATATGTTTGAATAGTTAATGATATAATAAATATAAATCTCCGGGATAATAATGGTTTTGGATTGAAAGTGTCAGGAGAGCCAACCTTTCTATTTATTTACATTTTTTATTTGTCACATCAGGCCTCCCAGCTGTCACGATTCAGTAGGACAGTCCTGATTTTCGGGACAGCAGAGATCTGTCTCCAATAAGCATAGTGCAAGTCCATCATCGCTATGCTCAGGGTCTGCCATCAGTGGGACGGCTTGACTGATGGAAAGGCAGCCTGGCATGTATTTATGTCAGGCTAACCTGCCAAACCTTTGGACAAATCCGCCTCTTTGTGCTGGGCCATGACATGCTCACTTCACTGGCCCTCCCTCCGCACCCTTCACACCGGTGTCCTTATTCACATATAGCCAGTGTCAAAATGTTATTAGCAGAGGCGCCATCAGGGACCCGACCAATTAGCCGTTACTATACAATAAGAACTGAGTTCTCTAAATTACTTTAGTTTATTGAGTAAATTCACTATATTAAAATTATAGGAAGATCTAACTAGTTTGAGGGGCCTGTATGGTTCAGGA